CACTTCACAGGGCCATGCAGAGGAGGGCACTCCCAGGAAAGGCACCCACTGACTAGGACTGGGAGAACAGACTTTCAAAGAGAACTAATCCATAGATTCACACGAACGAGGATTTCTAGGACCATAAAAAGTGTAATTCTAGTTATCAACATACAGTTACTGTCTCTAAATTGGGAAGAATGGTTATTCTACAACATGGGATCAGAATCCAAAAAGATATTGACCTTCTGGAATAGTGGGCTAACTAAAGGTAAAGCTTAAATTTAATTGTAGGAAATATTTTCAGGTGTCCCAAATCAAGTGTCCTAATGTAAACTTGGGGGAAAATATACTCATAAAAGAATATGCAAAACGATGCATAAGTAAAAAGTGTAGCACTGATTAAATAAAAAGGTGGGGGGGGGAGTAGGTTAGATTGCAGGATGATTTACTACAGAATGTCTGGGGGAGATAATCTGATAGTCAATGATGTTACTTCACTCCTCTATGTTCCACTCTAGAGGACATATCTAATAAAAGGAGTGATCCAAAGGAAATTCTCTGAAGAAAATGACATACCAACTGTGTCAATTAAGGGTGAAGGAAGGACCTGAATATTGCCATAGAGCCCACATGAGCATTACACATTAAAGCATTTAGTGGTACTCCTCTAAAAAGTCAGAACAGGGGGCCCTCCCTTGTGGCGCAATGGGTTGGGATGCAGTGCTACAAGATGGTCACAGCCGCTTCGGTGCGAGTTCGATCCCAGCCCCAGAGGTGACCCACAAGGCATGGCAGACCTCTCCTGACCCGCACACTGCTCCCTTCAGCAGTGTATTTTGTCCATTTGCCTGTTCTGCTCCCCACTCTGTCTCTGGTGAAGCTCTCAATGCCCCTGCACCTCTGGCTTGTACCCCAGTTCTGTATGAATAAAATAAATAAATCTTTTTTAAAAGTTAGAATATGAATATTATAGAGAAACCATATAGTTGAATAAAAGAAGCGCTCTTATGCCTGCAACACGTCAGATAACAAAATGTTATAAGGATAAACCTTGCTGTACAGTTCACCTAAACTTATCTTAATTGCCTCTGTGAATTTGGAAAGGTCATCTGCTTAGAATGAAGAGTGAGGATAATCTGGGTTAAATGAAGAATGTGAAAAAATATGGAAATATACTATGGAAAATTTGATCTGGATTCAATTGAAACAGAATAACTTTCTCACCCTGTAACATCCCTTAAACAGGAGTTAAAGTGAATGGATTTGGGGTTGACCAATGGACACGGTTATATGACGTGGTCTATCTAAATTCCACAGTGAGAAAGGCAGGCGGACCTCAATGGTGAAGTGGAGACAGGGCTCTCTGGCTCCAAGGGTGAGAGATATGGGTACTGAATAGGTGGACTTTGCTGTCTAAGATGAGGTGTCAGTAAAGAGAAGAGAACATGAGAAAACTCAGAACAGCAAAGGTACATGGGTGAGGAAGAGGTGGATGGGAGTGGACCTATGGAGACACTGTGAGGATAAGATACTTTGGCTGAAAAAGAGAAAGTGAAACTCTGCTTTTTCATTTGGGGCAATTCTTTTTTTAAAGATTGATTTATTTATTCATACAGAATTGGGGTACAGGCCAGAGGCACAGGGGCCATGAGAGGCTTCACTGGAGTTAGAGTGGGGAGCAGAACAGGCAGATCAACTAAGTACACTGCTGAGGGGAGAGGTCTGCCACGCCATATGGGTCCCCTCAAGGGCGGGATTGAACTCGCACTTGAGGCAGCTGCCGCCCGCCTGCAGTGCTGCATCCTAACCCATTGTGCCACCAGGGAGGAGCCTCAGTTGGGGCAATTCTTAGTGAGGAGAAGGCCTAGTGGGTGAACCAATGAACTCCCAAAGGGAGGAAGAACAAATTGGGGTCCTGTGACCCCAAAGTCAAACATGGAGATGTAGAACCAAATCCTGAATAATGACAGTGGATTCACATGAAGAGCTAAAAAGCCTTCATGACTCAGACTCCCAAGGAGAGCAGAATGTTCAGGAAGTTAACAAGCACCAGTAATGGGGAGACGTAATACGAATGAGGATTGTAAACTTAGAAAGCTGGCAATGGCGAAGAGGGTAACAGTTCACAGAAGCTCTGAACAGGCTGTCAGCCATAGCAGAGAAAAGCACAGAGTGTCTCCAGAGGGCCAAATATTAACATTCCATACCTGACCTTTGCAGATCAAATATATTCATTCACTTTCATTCCTCAATAGAATAACTTACAAAAACCAGTCATACACACACACAACCACACACACACACCACTTTAATGCAATCAAGCAAAGATGACAAAACTGTGTATTAGGTTAACAAACACCTAATATGTGCCAAAAACTATGAATCCAACAAAAGTAAATCCTGAGGGTCACTTGAATTTAATACCAGGCACACCTTTTAGATGTGTACTTTCACTGTGCAGGGCCTCTGCAAACGAGGATCAGGACACAGGTCAGGCCTGGAGAAGACTCCAGGGTTGCATTTTACTAGGCCTTCCCCACTCCTTCCCGTTCCCGGGAGTTCACTGCCAAGTCACTGTCTTATACTAGCTTCCTGGTAATTCTTACTCTGGTGGGAGGAGGAGTGGTATGTGAGTTCATTAATTTAAGTTTTTTTTCTTTCTTTGAAACTCAGCAAAAATATGCAGTTTTTGTGTTTATTTAAGTTTTTCTTAAAGGGAGGGTTTGTTAAAAGGTTATTAATGGCCAGAAGGCATTCTAGGTAAGTGGAGTTAGTTAGCACTTCACAGATCTGCAGTAAGGGGATTCGTGCCCACAACTTCTCATTCATTCTCTTCACATGCTGTTGGGGGGGGGGGGGAAGCAGGTGGGTGTGGGGGAGGTGAACTGGCATAAAACTCTACAGCCCTCAAAAATAATGTTTTTCATACTTTATATGGCTCACACTTAATAGGAAGATGAAACCTGTAGGTCTGAACCCAGGAGAGAGACGATATGGTTGAGGTACTTCCAAACTGTTTGAGAGAAATAAGAGATGCAGCTATGATTCAGGATAGACAAAACGCTACCCCCAACCTAAATAAGCCACCTACTCCATGGGCAATTACACTTGATCATCAAGAGACAAGAATTTCCAAAAGTGCTCCTTGCATCAGGTCAAAACTGGAACCAAAAAAACAGGCCCCCAGCAAGTACTTGTTCTAGGTCCCCGAGAGAATGAAAAACATCTGTTATAGAAATTTTAGAAAGAAAAATCTCTGCTTCTGCAAATATGCTAAAAACTAGAAAAAATAATGAATATTTAAGAAAAGTTGGTTGGGTAATTAAGTGATTTTAAAAAGTCAGGGTTGCATTTCCTAACAAGTAAAGGCTGAGCAACTTCCCGGCAAAGCTGAAATATAGAAATTACTCTGAATGACTACTTTCCCCCAGACCTTTTTTCTATCAATAACACTTTTTGGCTTGGTTTATCACTCTATGTTTCTACATCTTTTTACCTGGAGAGATTCATTTAAAAAAAATTGCATGACAAAATTGTTAACATCTGGTCACAAAAATATTTTGATGCAAGCTTAATGGAAATAATTGTAGTTATCGTTTCTTTAGTATTTAGTACAAAAGAGTAATTAAACGTTTTCAAAATGAGACATTGAACTAGATGACCTAAGCTATAGTTATGAAATATTACATAAATATTGTGATGCTTTCTGCATTTCTTGTCTTTCAGTGTCACCAGGTAAAAATAAAATATCTTATAGTTGCTTCTGTATTCTCTAAATGACAGAAATCTATCTTTCACATGCTATTTTATACCTGTAATCTAGAAACAGGAACTTTAACAAGTTATTCCTACTCACACACTATAGAACACAGCAACAAACACGAATACTGCATGTTTCTGCTGAGTTTCAAAGAGAGAAAAACATAATTTTTATTTTCTATGCATTACTAGAAAGATATAGTGCAGTAGTATACAGGAGGTGCCTATCAATACTTGCAAATTTCTACGAAGTAAATTTCATCTAAGCTAGTCATACATTTAAGAACATACACGTGGATCTAGTGTAAATGAAATGTTAATTACTATAATGCTAGTTATTCTAGATTTTCCTTACTATTCTATGTCTCCTGGCTTTATGTTAAGAGCTAGTTGTTCTGATAAGAAAAAGTGTAGCTTATATATTTTAGTTCCCTGGTTCTTAGTTTTCCATTGGGTCACATAATTCATTGGGTACCCTTGGGATATTTGCCAAGACTATATAGTTCAAAACGCAGCAGCTCAAATGTTTGGATATGATATCAGGGATTTCACAACCCCTTGAAGGTCCGGGACCTCTTTGTTTAATAACAGACCAGAGTGTAGACGACACAGACAACCTCCCCAGCAAGAGTAAGAAAGTTTAATTAACTGATTTTAAAAGTCAGCGTTGTATTTCCTAACATGTAAAGGCTGAGCAACTTCCAGGCACATCTGACATACAGAAATTACTCTGAATGACTCCTTTCCAACAGACCTTGGCAAATCAGCGTTTCCTTTGGAAATTTAGACACAATGTTGTAATACTATTGCTACTAACTTTACACTCTTCATAATGTAGTGCTTGAAATAACCACTCCTGGAGAAAAAAAAATACAGTCATTTTAGGAAAAGCAGCTATTACTTGTACACTATGAACCAAGACTCTGTGTCATTGTTTATCCACGTGAACCCAGTTAGCGATGTCCCCACCAAAGCTCATTCTAGTAAGGGGGCAGGCATGTAATGAAATCACCATCAGAGGGCTGACCCTGAAAAATCCCTACTGCTATGTTATTAATGAAGCGCTAATTGGATACATACACGCATAGACATGCACACATATACATACACATATAGTGTGTTCACTTTAATAGGGGTTTCTAGTATATCAGAAACCAAGATGCCTTCCACCAGCCACTATTAAGTGACTTCCTTCCGAAGATAACTCTACCACTGCAAAATGAAGACAAGTCAGCAAAAAGAGGCACGAAATCCACTACCTGAAATCACATGACCACACCGCCACGCTGTGTGACTGACCGCGAGGCTGCTCAACCACTGAGTCCGGGCTGCAGGCGCCGGCCCCACTCGGAGGGCGGTGGCAATCCCCTGCCCCCGATTCCGGAGTGCCGCGGTCAAAGCGAAATCAGGAATCCCGCTGCCAACCAGAAATTCACATGCACGTACTTGCAGCACAGGCGCGCGCGCGCGGCGGAGCCCCGCAGCTGCCCCGAAGTTCGCCGGCGGCTCTCAGCA